GATTTTGTTTGTTTGTAATATTAGCAATATTGTTTGATTATTTCCACACTGTCAGGTCACCATTTTTTGGGAATGGGAAAAAAATATTAATCTCTTCTAGTCAGTTATCCAGGTAGCTCTCCTCCAGATTTCTTGGCACAATCTGGTGTATATATCAAGGGCTGCATCTGTTTGTTGGAATATGTCAACTGGTATTCTATCAACTCCTGGGGCCTTATTTTTTTGCCAATTCCTTTAGAGTAGTTTGAACTTCCTCTTTCATCTTAATTGCTTCTTGATCATATGCTTTTTCATTACATTCTTCTGTGTCAGCCAGTGATTCATTGCCTTCTTCTGTGCCAGCAAGTGACTCTGTGTACTCCTTCCATCTTCTTTTGATGCTTCCTGGACTATTCAATATTCTGCTGATAGCGTCTCTAAGTACTTACTGCAACTCGAGGTTTAAATTTGTTCTTTTTTAAAAAAATTTTATTTTTAAAATAATTTTAATGAACATTTACAGATTAAATTTTTTCTTCAATTCTTGATGCTTAAGAAATGTCAAATAAGTCTGTCCCTTTTGATTTTCTGACTCCAGCTCTTTGCACATTTCTTTTAATTCTTTGCTTTCTCTTCCTGAGCCTTTGAAATCTTCTGCTCAGCTCCTTACCTTCCTAATTTTTTCCCTTTGCTTTGGCTTCTCGGCATTCTAGTGCAATATTCAGAGTCTTTTTCTGACATCCATCTCAGTCTTCCTCCTGTGTCTTTGCAATGACCTTTGGCATTCTTCACAGATGATATTTCTGATATCATGCCACAACTCATCTAGTGTTCAAGGCCTCAAACCTGTTCTTGAGATGGTTTTTAAATTCAGGGAGGAGAGACTCAAGGTCATATGTTGTTTCTTGTGGATTTTTCATTTTCTTTTGCTTCAGTTTGAACTTGCATATGAGAAGTTAGTTGACGGTCAGTTCTACAGTCAGCACCTGGCCTACTTTTCACAGCTGATATTGAGCTTCTCCAGTGATTCTTTCCACAGATGTAATCCATCTGATTCCTGTGTAGTCCATCACGTGAGGTCCATGTGTATAGTCAGTCTTCCCTGGACTCCTGCAAAGCCCTTAGGAAGCACATTTAGGAGGAGACAGTCTTTGGATGAAATGCATTTGTGAAGGGGACAAGAATTCGCAAGCCAAGGTCCATTGTCACTAGGATAGGGCAGCCCTCAGTGAAGCTTCAGAACCCACACAAGCTGCTCCTCGCCCACTCCCACCCCCAGCAACGCAAAGTGCAATTAAAGCTCCCTGACCTGCCATGGTCTGTGCACCCTATTGCCCAACTCTAGGCGGTGCAAATGATTAACACACTTAACTGAAAAGTTAGCAGTTCAAGTTCACCTAGAGGTGTCTAGGAAGAAAGGCCTGGCTGTCTGGAAAAAAAAAAAGAAATCAGCCACAGAACATCCTATGGAACAAAGTTCTACTCTGACACACACAGGTCACTCTGAGTTGAGATGGAATCTGGCTTTTATTGCCCGCCAGCCTTCCTGTGACCACAAAGCTGGCTTCAGCTGTGTCTGAGTCAGATCTGGCCGGTCCCAGTCCTTGCTGGTCAAGACTGGCCCTCTGGATTCACTTCCTCCACGCCTCCCCCAACTCCCACTTCTTAAAATCACAATGATAAAGTGAGTGGCGGCCAGCAGCCCTGGTCTCAAAAACCTCTCTCATCTCTGCTTCATTTTACTAATCACCTATTAGGAGGGTGGTCATGTTTCATTCATTCTCTTCCCAGAGACCCGCTCCCAGGCCAGGCATCTCGAGGCTGAGAGAAACACACTTTTGAGAACCTGCCTCTGAAATGTGCCCTCCCACTCACAGCCGCATTCCTTCCAGCTCACGTTACCGCAGCTGCTGGGTGTCTGGTCTAAGCCCAGCTCGTCTTGCAGCCGGGCAGCTGAACCACCTTGCCGGGAGAGCAGCGGTGACCTAGCGCCAAGGCCGCCGGCTGGGACTGTGATTCCACAGAAATCTTTAACAGAGGCAGAGCCGTGTGAGTGATTTTCAGTGTGGCCGGTTTCATTCTAAAATACTAAACCTTGCAAAAGAGCTTACACAAACGTCAGTGGTTCAAATTCACTAGCTGTTCCAGAGAAGAACAATGGTCAATCACTTCCTGTAAAGATTTCTAGCCTCAGAAATCCAATGGAGGCAACAATGAATGCATATTAGAAAAAAAGAAAAGAAAAATGAACTGAGGAGTGGGAGAGGGAGGGAAATGTTCAACAATGGATGAATGGAAATCCAACTTTTCTGTAAGCTCCCATTAAAATCACAGTTTTAAAGTGAATTTTTAAAAAATCCACTGGAGAGTTACTGTGAGTCAGAATAGACTTGTCAGCCATGGTTTAAACCTTGGAAAACAAGTGGCAGAAATGTCACAGGACATACATAAAGTGCACAGTGTCCAACTGTGCAGAATGGCTAAAGAAAAATGTGGTATAAGTAGTTTGTGTTGAGCTGCTAAGCCAGAGGTTGATGGTTCAAACTCATTCAGAGGCGCTATGGAAGAAAGGCCTGGCAATCTATTTCTGTAAGTGTTAGAACCAAGAGAATCCTATTGAAGACCATGAAGCCATTTCATGTCACACACGGGGACTTCACCAGGAATCAGATGGCAGTGAATTTGATTTTGGTTTCCTTGTGGGAATGAAGAACACAATAGTTGTTGTTCAATGCCATCAAGTCAATTCCAATTCATAGTGAACTTAGGAACAACAGATCAAAACCTTGCCTTATGCTGTGTCTTTCTAGTGATCTTCATGCTCAAGTTCATTGCTGCAGTCATTGTTTCAATCCAGTCTCTCCCAAGCACAGTGTCTTTTCTCAATGACAATCAATGCCTCCTTGACAGTATGACCAAAGTATCATGAGACAAAATTTCACCATTTTTACCTCTAAGAAGCTTCCCCTCCATGACAGATGCATTTGTCCTTTCGGCAGTCCATGGGATATTCAATTCTCTTCACCAAACACAATTTACAGGCCTCAGTTCTTTGGTCTTCCTCAAGACTATGGCAGCCATCTTTATAATCACATGTGCCCAGGCAGGCATTTGTTAGGGTCACGGGCTCATGACCTCAAGGTGCTGGCTGTCCCTACAGTAGTCTTAGTACCCAGGTAAACATAGGCGCCCTGACACTTGGGAATGTCCTCTGTCCATTCCTCACCATATGCAACCAAGAATTCCAAAGTTAATATTTTGTACATCACCACCAGGGGCTCTGGTGGCCTAGTGGGTAAGGAGTTGCGTTGCCAGCCTAAAGGAAGACAGTTGGAAGCTACCAGCTGCTCTGCGGTCTGGGAGGTGCGGGGGTGTGGGAGGGGGGTTGGTAGTAGGGGGAAGATGGGCCATATCCTCCCAAGGGTTTACAGTCTCTGAGAACTCAGTGCAATGGTCCTGGGAGTGAGGGAGTGGCAATAGCAAAATGTCTGCCAGATACACAGTTGAGCTTTGCTATGTGTTACAGCTTTGACAACACAAGGTGTCCACAATCTTTATGGGGCATCAAGAGAATCTTAGCATCAAGTTTTGTGTCCACAAAACATTTGCTAATACTGAAAATAGCTGCCATGCTGTTACTATTAAGGCAAGTCTCTCTCTTCATGGCAACTTACCTGTGGAGTCTAATCTTCTCATTGAACTATGGTCCTCTCCGTTAACAGCACGCTCAGTCATTTTCTGATCGATCCAAAGAAGCAAAAGAAAACTTGACCACCGATTTTCTTTTTAAAAAAGCCTTTTTCTTTTTTAATAGCATTGAAAGGCGGTACTCTCGTGCCCCCTGCTGGTACGTATAATCAACACCCATGGAAATCACAAGAAATCAAAGACAGGCTAATTTCCTGCAAAATATTCTTTTTTAAACTGTTATGAGGAAAATATGTCATTTTGAGGCATCAGGGATGCCTGGCCCAAGGCATGGTACTTTCTATTATCTCCTCTGCATTCAAATATTGGACAATGACTAAGGAAGATGGAAGAACTGATGTCTTTTCATTATAATGTTGGTGAATGGTATCTAATACCAAAAAAAGAAATCAATCTATCTTGGAAGAAGGGTAGCCGGGATGTTCCTTAGAAGCAAGGAGAACGAGATGGACTGTGGTCTGTCTCGTGTACTTTAGATATCAGGAGGCACCAGGCCTTGGAGAAGGACAAGATGCTTGATCAGCGAGAAAGAGGAAGATTCTCACTAAGATGGGTTCACATTGTGGTTGCACCGAGAGGCTCAAGCACAGCAGAGATTGTAAAGCTTATTTCGGTTATTTTTTGTAGTATTTTATAGCAGGTCCCTACGATTGGAAACTAACTCCACAGAAACAACATCACCACTAGGATGTGATTGATAGTAACAGTCCGTTTGCACTTAGCTTTCCCCAAAGAATTTTTTTAAAAGGATATTCCGTCTGATGTTAAAACATGTTTATATTTAGGCACTCATTTGGCACAGTCCATAGTGTTTTGTGCTGCTAGCAAAATGTGTTTCTTTTTTAATACCTTAACGGTAAAATATATATTTCACTATTTTCATTATATAGGCATATTTCAACATTTCCTATTTTATCATTAAGTACCTAACTTTAAAAAATGTGTAACTTCTTTTTTTCATGTGTAACTTCTTTTGTGATATGTAATATTGCATTTATCAGTTGCATTTGGATAAGCTTTATAAATACATTTGTTAAGAGATGATTTTCCTTCCATCTTCACACCTTCTCTGAAGCATCATTTTATTTTGTTTCTTCCTCATTCACTGCCCCCCCCTTCTTTTTTATTAATCTAAGAATAAACTCATTTCACATGAGACAAAGGGAAGACTTTGGGAGTGGTTCTTTTTTTTTAATTTTTTTTTTTAATAGGAAAAAAACCACACAGGGACTTTATTATTCCCAGTACCGGCCAGGTCTTCCAGGGGCGGCAGGAGGTGGCTGTGGGGCAGGGCTGTAGAGGCGGCGGTGGCCCTACTTGCCGGCGATGAGAGGGTTCCTGAGGACCACGATGACCAAGTCCCCACACAGGAGCATCTTAGAGATGTAGAGGTCCTTGCTGACGGCCTTGGACTTCTTCTTGCCCTTGCCACTCTTGGGGACCCAGGAGCTGCTTCTTGTTGTTGTGACAGCTGATGAGCACTTGCGTGTTGTTCTTGACCGACTGTGTGAGCACGGAGAGCGGGCCCCTGTTAAACCCCTCCTCCTCTCCCTTCTGCAGCTCCTCCGCGGTCACTCTTGGGCTTGTTGGGGAGGCTCATGGTGCCGGCTGTGGTCTCGAAGAGCTCCCGTTCCCTCCGCGTTGCTTCTTCCTCCGAGTGGTTCAATTTTTAAAGGAAAACCATGCCTTGAACATTCACAGGAAATTATAATTATGAAGATCAATTCATGAGTGGCCACTATGCTAAAACCCAAACTTGCTCTAAAGATGACATGCTGCTCAAGGTCAGTGGGGGGAAGACCCCTGACATGGGTCAGAAATTCAGCACATACCCCCAGGGGAGTGAGAGGTGGAACAAGAGGGATTATGAATTAAATGTGGAGGAAGATTTTGTCCCAGATAAAGCAAGTACATTTTGCAGTCTCAAGTCCCTCCCTGGAATGTTGTTTTTTCCATTATTGTTAGGTAGCCAAAACCAATCCAGACTCTGTCAGTTAAGTCTCATAGTGACTTTTCATTGGGTTTTCCAGGCTGTAAATCTTTACTACAAAATAATCCCCATCTTTCTCCTTCACACTGGCTGGTGGGTTTGAACCACTGACCTTTTGGTTAACAGCACAACATATAACACTATGCACCACCAGAGCTTCTTGGAGTTACATAGAGTTGGGTTAATAAACGCCCTGGAAGGGCTTTTGTTTTCTGCCCACGCAGAGAAAAAATAGGATGAGACATGAATGAGACTTTGGGGTCCCTGACATGCAATTAACTCACCTGGCCACTGCCTGCAAGCTTGGTGGTTCAAGTCCCGTCAGGGGCCTTTAGAAAACAGCTCTGGTCATCTACGTCCAAAAATTTAGCCACTGAAAACTCTGTGGAGTCAGCCCTACCCTGACACGCATAGGGACGCCAGGAGTCAGAGTCACCTCAGGTCTCCGGTTTAACCAGGCTCCACATCCCACTAGGGTCTTCTGTCCCTGGGGCTGGATCTCTTTGGCACATAGCAGGAAGGTGCTCTGCAGGGTGGCAGCAATTCAATGTCTGTTTTCTGCAGAGCCGGAGGGAAACCAGAGATTCTTGTCAAAATAGCACAAGTGAAACCGTTTCATGTGTAATCTCCTGCCAGATTCATCCACACCAGATTGGAGAGATTAGCCCTAAGAAAACTCCCAGCGAGCTATATCCTCCAAACCAGTAATGCTTCCCAGGAAATCTAAGCTGCTCAAAGCCCAAGAATGTTCTAGACTGGTTTGAGTCCTTTAGTGTTGATTCAAAGGCTCATCCTTTTCTCTTTAATCAATAGTTGATCCAAAGTTATACAATTACTTGGAGAAGCATTTGAAGTACATCTGTCCTCTTTTTATTTTTCTAGTTACATTTTTAAAAATAATGTTATATTGAGTTTTTGGTGAAAGTTTGCACAAGTTAGGTCCCTGTTTAACACTTTCCACTCCTTTAGCTACATTTGTCACACTGGATGAACATCCTTTTTACGGATCGAGTCTTCCCTTTCCATACTCTAGGTTTTGCGCTTTTTTTCAATCTTCTCATCTCAATTTTTTTTTAGTAGCTGTGGATCATTTAGTCTTTTACTGGTTGTTTTAAAGTAAAACACTGATTTTTTTTACCAGCAGTGAGATGGGCTTTGACACTGTGAACCAAAGTCTACACCTTTCCGGTAGTTTGTTTTCTTAACAGTCCATGGTACCCTCAATACTCTTTTCCAGCACCACAGCTCAAAGGCATCAATTCTCCTTCTGTCCTCCTTGGTCATTGTCCAACTCTCTGATGCATAACAAGTGATTGCAAAGACCATGGCCTGTATCAGACACACCTTAGTCTCCAGAGAGACACCATTGCTCCTCAGTACTTTGGAGAGGTCCCTAACAGCAGACTTTCCCATGGCAATGCGCCTTTTAATTTCCTAGCTACTGGTGCCAAGAGTGTTGACTGTGGAGCCAAGCAAATGAAAGCTGTGAACAATCTCAATTTCTTCACCATCCATCCTGATGCTGCCAATTGATCCAGTGGTGAGAATCTTTGTCTTCTTGACATTGAGCCTCAATCCATATTGAAGACTGCAGTCCTTGACCCTCAGCAGCAAGTGCTTCAGGTCCTCCTCAGTTTCAGCAAGCAGGGTTGTATCATCTGCATAATGCAGATTGTTGATGAATCTTCCACCAATCTTGACACCACATTTCTCCTCATATAGCCAAGCCTCCCAGATAATCTGCTTTGCATACAGGTTGAAAAGGTATGGAGGCAGGACACATCCCTGGCATATGTCCTTCCTAATTTTGAACCATGGTCCAAGTATAGTTTTCTCATTAGCACGATCAAGTGTTCTGGGATTCCTATTCTTCTCAGAGTCAGCCACAGTTTGTTATGATCCACAGTCAAACACCTTTGGATAATCAATGAAACACATTCCTCTGGTACTCCCTGCTTTCAGCCAAGATCCATCTAACATCAGCTACAATATCTCTAGTACCACAACCCCTTCTAAACCCAGCCTGGACTTCTGGCAGTTCTCTGCTAATGTGCTGTTCCAGTTGTTTTTGGATAATCTTCAGTAAAATCTTGCTTGCATGTGAAATCAATGATATTGTTCTATAGTTTCTACACTCTGTTGGGTCTCCTTTCTTTGGAATGGGAACAAATACAGATCTCTTCCAGTCAGTTGCCCAAGAGGTCGTTCTTCAGATTTCTTGACACAATCTGGTGAGCACGTTCAGGGCAGCATCTGTTAGCTGAAATATGTCAATTTGGTATACCATCTATTCCTGGGGCCTTATTTTTTGCTGTTTCCTTCAAAGCAGCTTGAACTTCTTCTTTCATCACCATAGGCTCTTGCTCATATATTGTTTTATGAAATTCTTCTGTCTGCCAATTCCTTTCAATACAGTGACTCAATATATTCTTTCCATCTTCTTTTAATACTTCCTGGATCATTTCATATTCTGCCTAAAGCATCCTTGATTATAGCAACTCGAAGTTTGAATTTGTTCTTCAGTTTCTTGAGCTTAAGAAATGCTGAGCGAGTTTGCCCTTTTGATTTTCTGACTCCAGCTCCTTGCACATTTCATTGTAATATTTTACTTTGTCATCCTGCGCTGTCTTTTGAAATCTTCTGTTCATCTCTTTAGTATCTTGAATTCTTCCTTGTGCTTTGGCTTCTAATAAATGTATTATACACACACACACACACACACACACACACACACACACACACACTTGAGTTTGCTTGGTTCTACAATCAACACTCTTGGCACCAGAGCAGCCAGAAAGTTTTTAATTTTTAATATTGCATTGGGAAAGTCTGCTGTCAGAGATCTTGTCAGAGTGCTGAAGAGCAATGATGTCAGTCTGGAGACTAAGGTGCACCTGATACAGGCCATGATCTTTGTAATCACTTGCTAAGCATCAGAGAGCTGGACAATGACCAGCTATCCTAGAAGGAGAATTGATACCCTTGAGCTGTGGTGTTGGAGAAGAGTATTGAATATACCATGGATTGCTAAGAAAATGAACAGGTTCATCCTAGAGAGGGTTAAACCAGGCTGCTCCTTAGAGGAAAGGATTCTGACGCTTCGTGTAACATACTTTGGACGTGTTGCAAGGCAGGATCAGTCTCTGGAGAGGGTCATTATGCTTGGGAGGGTGGGGTGAAGGGACAGCGCAGGAAAGGAAGACCCTGGATGAGATGGATTGATTCAGTGACTGGAGTAATGGGGGTAGGCGTGTTAGAGTCAGTGAGCTTGGCACAGGATAGAGCAGGGTTTAGGGGTGTTGTACAGAGGGTCACTATGAGTCACAGGCAACTTGACAGCACATACCAACAATAACAACATACTGCCACCTACTAAATCTTGTTACGACATAGGCACACTGCCCAACTGACATGAAAAAAAATGAAAAAAAAAGAAAAAATGAAAAAAAAACAATAACAACATACACACCTATACACATATACACACATTTGTGTATATATGTGTCTGTATATACATATATATGTGTGTGTATATGTGTATAGGTGTGTATGTTGTTATTGTTGTTCATGTATGTAGTTGTTTACCATTGAGTCAGAACCAACCCATAGCTGACCCTCCAGTGGATTTTCAGAGGCAGTTACTCACGTGATATGAGATTATTCCCATGGAGCAGCGGGTGGATTTGAACCATGTGCCTTTAGGATTGCAGCACAGCTTCTCACCAATAAGCCACCAGAGCTCCTATGTATATATATGCATATATGTATGTTCTTTTATTATTTTGTATATATATTCTTCATGGTTTCACAGTGCCATCTAACTTTTACTTGTGCCATTCCTTTTCATCCCTTGCTTTTATAACCCATTAAAGTGAGAAGAGAGCAATTAATCAAAGCTTATACTTAAAATATCCCAAACCTTGGAATGTCTCAGTGTATTCTGCCAAAATTTTAATTTCAGGTATTTTAGCTTCAATTTTAATAACTGCCATTATTATTCACTCTGTGGAAAGAGAGAAAGAAAAAAAGCTGCTTCAACTGACAGCTCTTCTAAAACCAAACCTACCCATTATCATTTCACAAGAACCAGACAGTTTGAAAATCGATGCTCCCCTCCACGGCCTGTTTCTCCTGAGAAGGTCAACAGCACATTATAAATTCAACCCAACTTTACATCTCAGCTCGACAGGAAGGCATGAGACAGGAAGAATATTTTTATTACCAAGATTTAAATGCAAATCATTCTTAGGAAGGAACACATATGCCACAGCTTACTACAATTTCTAGAAAGAATAAGAACAGACAAATATAAGCACATTGTGGTTTATTCAGTCTTGTTGAATGGGAATGTGAGGGACTCCTAGTTTTGAAAGCACAATGCTACAGGGAGGGAAAGTTGGAAACCCAGATTTAAAAGGTAATTGCTTAGTTTTCTTTAGGATGAGATTCTTCTTACTTGAGAAAGCCCACAATTTACATATAGAGTTTTGGGTTTTGCTTTGTTTTGTTTTTTAAATGTACTAATGCTTGCTTTCATGACACCTAATCCTGACCCACAGTCAGAGCTCGTCAGGAAACCATACATT